TACCTTTCAGACTTATCTGACAATATTTTGGGTAACTAAAATGAAAAAAAGGACTTCTGTAGTGCGCACTCAACTGAAAACGGACTTATCTGGGTCAAAAAAGCGGATTCCTATGTCAGATTTTGAGGTATTCAAAGGCGCTCACTCACAGTATCTTCTGCATCCTCCATGTCTTCACCGTTATCGATGGAATACTGACGGAAGAACGACACCAGTTCATGCAAATTTTCAGCAGGAATTTGGACCTCAACAGAAATATCAATATAATCTCCTTAGAGCGTATGTAGTACCTGTGGAGCATCAGCTAGAATGAGCTTCAAATAATAAAAGAGGATCTTGTGGAAAGATAGCGGAACATTTGTCGAGGAGATGAGGGATACGAGCACCTACAGTGACAAAGTGAGAGAAATTTTGAAAAAGCCTGCAATATGTTACTAATTGTTACTGACCGGCGCAGCAGAGCGAACGTCTCCAATGCTCAAAAATCGGTGAAATCGGTAGTAGTTGAAGAGGAAAGCAAGAGACGGCGATTCCAGTTCAGCTACATAGTCAGCTAAGTGATCCAACAAACTCATAGAGGCCAGTTCATTCTTATCCGCGTGCCATACAATTCTGCAAAAAGACAAAGTTGCAAGATAGCAGAAATGAACAGATAAAATAAGCAGATAATAAACAACAGAAAAAAACACGGATAAAGAGCAGATACTCCTATATTTGAAAATAGAACTGCAGATAAAAAGCAGTAAACATTCAAAAACAAACACAGTTGGGAGTACCTATTGACTGCAGTATCGAGAGCCGGTCCTCGACCACCTCGCAAAGCCCATGATAGCGCAGCACTCCACTCGCCTTCCCGCAAATACCTGTAATGAAGGCATAGTAACAAACAGAATCAAGTCCTCAGTTTCAGAAAAAACTTACTGGTAAGTCATAGTATTCACCACACATGCTTTTGAGTCATCCAGTTCCTGCTCCACACAGATACGCATAAGCTGCAAGCATTTTCGATAGGGCAAAAATCGATGACAAATACTTCTATCATCATTTATCAACACCATGAATGCGCGAAAGCAAGCGTGCTGTACATGCTGATGTCGTTTTTTAGATAAATAATACAGAAACTCATTAGTAAATA